AGATATTTCAAAAACATTAATGTATGATTTTCATTATAACTATATGATTAAAAAGTTTAGTAAAATCAAATTATTGTATACAGATACGGATAGTTTAATATATCATATATTTACAAATGATTTTTACATTGATATAAAACCTGACGTTTCATCATACTTTGATACCTCAGATTATGATACAAATAATATTTTTGAATATCCAAAATTAAATAAAAAGAAATTAGGTTTTTTTAAAGATGAAAATAATGGTAAAATCATGAAAGAATTTGTGGGTTTACGATCCAAAATGTACGCTTTTAACTTAGAGAATAAGACTATAGCCAAGGCAAAAGGGGTAAATAAATGTATCACTAAAAAGATGACAATGAATAGTTATAAGTCTTCTCTATTTAATAAAAAAGTGCAATATTATAGTATGCTTAGATTTAAATCAATTAAACACACAATTTTCACACAAAAATTAAATAAGATAGGTTTATCATATAATGACACAAAGAGACATATTTTAGATAATAATATTGAAACATTAGCTTGGGGTCATTATAAACTGCGTTAAGTGTTGATAGTTTTTACTTTTATGTCTGCGTTTAAGAAAAATTTATATTGATTGTAAAATTATGATAATACTATAATATGACGTAGTTTATTACATATTTAAACATTGTTTTATTGTAAATAATTTAAGTTAATTGTTGTTTCTATTTATTTGAGGTTGAGTTAATTGTAAAATTATGATGTACTAATTGTTGTTTCTATTTATTTGAGGTTGAGTTAATTGTAAAATTATGATGTACTAATTGTGTTAGAAATAGTATACAGATAATTCTGTTTTATATAATTTTTGGAATATATATTAATTGTTTACACCAACACTTTCATTTTTTATTTCACCCCTTTGAACTTTAGACGTGTGTTATGTTTCACTTTATCCATCCGTTCACTGCTATTGTGGCAGGACCAAGTGGGTGTGGGAAGTCAAATTTTGTAACAAATTTCATAAAATCAGTTACAGAAATATGTAATTGTGATTTTAATCAGATCACATGGTGCTTTGATGAAATGCAACCATTATATAATTTACCAAATGTTAACTATCATCAAGGAATTCCAAATCTTAATATGTTTGATGGTGAAAACCCACATCTTGTTATTATTGATGATCTAATGAGAGAGTCCGATGGAAGAATTGTGGATATATTTACAAAAGGTAGTCATCACAGGAATCTTAGTGTATTTTATCTAACACAAAATTTATTTCATCAGGGTAAAGGACAAAGAGACATATCTTTAAACTCAAGTTATATAATATATTTTAAAAACCCTCGAGATAAAACTCAAATAAGATATTTAGCAAGACAAGTATCACCAGATAACCCAAAATTCATTGAAAATGCCTACAGGGATGCAACTCTAGAGGCACATGGATATTTAATGGTAGATTTAAAACAGAATACCAATGATTTTTGTCGTATCAAGACAAATGTCTTTCCATTTAATGGTTTCTGTACAGTCTACGTCCCCACAAAAGAGTTTAAATACACCAAGAATCAAACAATTGAAATCATTGCTAAATGATGCATCGTCGACTCACAACGTATAAACATTTGCTAACCGCTTTGCATACGCTTAAACCAAAATATCAAAGAGCATTACTTAAAACGTGTGATGAAGAAGAAATTAACTGTATTTGTGAGTGTATTCATAACGTTTTACAAGGAAAAGTACCTCTTAAAGATCAGGATAAACAAAAATTGAATAAACATAAAAACATACTCCGTAAACTAGTACGTAAGTGTAAACATAAACTAAGAAAAAATATAATTATACAAAAAGGAGGGGCTTTCTTACCAACAATATTAGGTGCAATATTGAGTGGATTAGTGAGTGGACTAGCCAGTTAACATGGAAAATGCAAAGAAAATGATACTTATCGAAACTGGATTGATTGAAAAATTAAAACAAGAAAATAAGGTTAATAGTAATTTATCTCGATTAGATATTGAAATGCAAAATATTATGAATAGTAAGACGGAAGACCGAAAGAAATGGATATTATATTTACAAACACTGCAAAGATACCTTCATTTTACCGAAGAGGATCGTCAACCACTCAAATTACCAATTTATTCTGATACATCTAATGAAGATTCAAATGAGTCAAAAATTGGTTTTAAAAATAAAGATAGAGATCTAAAAACTTCAGTTGATATTGAATCTTTGCTGGAGGAGAATCGATCCATTAAAAGTAAAGAAAATGATGAAAATCCACTTTACACACCAGCTCAAATACTCAGTTTAATACCAAAAACTTATCATAAAAAAGGGCAGTTATTATTAAACTTAGTTGAAACAAGTAAAAGTAAAATACATTGGGATAATGAAGGTACAGTCATAATTGATAGTGAAAAAATTCCTGGAAGTAATATTGTTGATTTAATAAATGATTCACTAAGACCCCTAAAAAGAAGTGATCCGGTAGGGTGGGTTAGATTTGCTGAAGCATTAAAAGATATTAAAGTACCACTTACTTATATTGGAAATCCAAGGAGATGTGAGTTTATTAACCAACTTCAAGCAAAAGATCTGAACAAACCCTCTGAGATTGAAGTTCAAGAGTTTTCTACACCGTGCAGTAGAGATAAAAAGTCTACAACTAAAATACGTAAAGGACTTGAGTGGGAAAAATGGACTCCGTACTAGAAGAAATTAACAGGATTTATTATGATCCATCTAATCCCGCTGGTTTTGGTAGTATTGATAAATTATCAAAAGCCATGAAGGGTAAAATGAATAAAAAGCAAGTAAAGGAATGGTTAAAATCACAAGAAACATACACATTACATAAACCCATTCGAAAAAAATTCCCGCGTAATAGGTACATTCTATCAAATATTAATGAACTGTGGCAAGCTGATTTAAGTGATATGCGAACTTATTCTCAATATAATGATGGTTTCAAGTATATACTTTGTATTATTGATGTATTTAGTAAATATGCTTTTGCAAGACCAATGAAAAAGAAAAACTCAGAAACAACTAAAGAATGTTTTGAAAGTATATTTACTGAAAGTAATTTAACACCTACTCACATACAATCCGATAAAGGCACAGAATTTGTTTCAAAAGATGTACAAAAATACTTTAAATCCAAAAAGATTAATTACTATACCACTAACAATCCTGACATTAAGGCCAGTATTGTTGAACGATTTCAAAGAACACTAAAAATGAAAATGTGGCGTTATTTCACTCATAATAATACTTATAGATATATAGATGTTTTACAAGATTTAATATACTCTTATAATCACAGCTTTCACTCTAGTATTAAGATGTGCCCATGTGATGTAAATTCCAACAATATTATGACAGTTTGGACTAATCTTTATGACAGACGGTCAAAAAAACTTTCTTTAGAAAATCCTAAACCAAATTTCAATGTGGGTGATTATGTTCGAATAACTAAATATAAACATGTATTCCAAAAAGGATATGAATCAAATTGGAGTGATGAAATATTTATTATATCTTCAATAATTGATAGATCTCCATGGGTTGTTTATACAATAACAGATTTACAAAATGAACCAATAATTGGTATTTTTTATGAAAGAGAATTACAGAAAATCACTTACAACCCCACCTCACAACATAAAATAGATAAAATAATTGACACTCGTTATTCAGGTAACAGAAAAGAAGTATTAGTGAAGTGGAAAGGTTATCCAGATAAATTTAACAGTTGGATTTTAGCTTCTAGTTTAAAAGAAATATGAATAAAGAAAGTTTCTATTTAACTTTGCTCAGCAATAGTTCAATGGAATACTTTCCTGATAACAAGACCACAAATTTTTCAACGAAATTACCAAAAGCTATAAAATTAGAAGGTGAATGGTCGGTTGGAGTTGTCGAGTTTCAATATCCATGTACCATGTTTACTGTTCAAGACCATGAAAATGTTATATACATTACAAAATCTATGTTAATGCCTAATGAAGATAAGCCATCCACAGTGTACTACAAAAAACATATTCCAGCTACCAACTATGATAACGTTGAGCATATTTTAAGAGTGTTAAATGGTATCGGAGAGAACTTGAAATTTCGCTATGACGAAATAACAAAATTTGTGTCTATTTCGGTATTGGATAAAAATATAACATCCGTAACATTATCACCCAAATTAAGTTTACAGCTAGGTTATGAACCAAATAAAAATCTCCTAGAGAGAAATTTTGGAAAGTGTCCTGCTAATTTACACTTAGGGTTACCATCTCAACTATTTCTATATTGCGATATTATCGATCCTCAGATTGTGGGTGATGTTATGACTCCTTTATTAAGAGTCATTTCATTAGATCCTACAAAATACATTTATGGTGCAAATAAACTGCACGTTTTCTCTCAACCTCACTACTTACCTGTTATGCGAAGAGAGTTCGATACGTTGGAAATAGTTATAAGATCGAGTACAGGACAAAAAATACCATTCCAGTTTGGAACCGTGTGTATTAAACTACATTTCCGAAAATTATAATAATGAATTCTCTTCGTGATCATCATAAATGTCCATATGAAAATTATTATACACATCAAGCTGGATCAGGAGTTGGAGTAATTTATAAGGGTTCACCATATCAACGCGGTCATGGTATTGGGAGCTTCTTAGGGGGGTTATTCAGATCAGTTTTACCTTTACTTTCAAGTGGTGCTCGAGTGATTGGTAAGGAGGCATTAAGCGCTGGAGTAGGACTTTTATCGGATATGGTTCAAGCCCGTCCTATGGAAGCCTCAATAAAAGATCGTCTAAAGCAAGTTAGTACGAATTTAAAACGAAAGGCTGATGAGAAAATTGATCAATTTAACATGACTGGATCTGGGTATAAAACTAAAAGAAAACGATTGACATCGTTCATTCCACCATTAACTGCTAAAGTGAAAGCTGCGAAAAAACTTAGTCTAAAACCAAAAAATATCAAAGATATATTTTCAAACTAAATATGTCTTTCCTTCATAATCATTCTTGCGAGTGCGTTAAGTCAGAATTGGATTTGTTTGCACTACCGTCTACACAAACTAGCATTGAAAATGGATTGTGGATTCATTATAAACAAATTTCATCTCTTGGTGATGATGGACCTATCGAGTTTCAAGTTCCTGGGACCGGCGATGACTACATAGATTTGTCTCATACATTACTCCACATAAAGGCAAAAGTATTAAATCAAGATTCAACTAACTTGGTATCTACTACAATAGTAGCACCTGTAAATAATTGGCTGCATTCACTTTTTAGTCAACTTGATGTTTATTTAAACCAAAAACTTGTATCACCACCTAATAATACCTATGCATATCGAGCATACATGGAAACCCTTTTAAACTATGCCCCTGCTGCTAAACAATCTCATCTTACTTGTAGTCTTTGGTATGAGGATACAGCAGGAAAAATGGATTCTACAGATGGTAAAAACATAGGATTTGTTAAAAGACAGGAATTGATTAGTGAAAGTAAGGAAATAGAAATGATTGGTCATCTTCACGGTGACATTTTTAACCAAGATAAATTTTTAATTAATGGTGTTGAAATGAGTGTTAAATTGGTTCGATCAAGAGAGAGTTTTAATTTAATTGTTGGGTCAAACGATGTAAAGTTTAAAGTTTGCATTACGGACGCAACTCTTATTGTGCGACGAGCACGAATTAATCCAAGTGTATTACTCGCACATCAAAAAGTTTTAGCTTCTACCACTGCTAAATATCCTATTACTCGAGCTGAAGTAAAAGTTTTAACAATTCCTTCAGGTGTTCAAGGAAAAACTCTTGATAATATATTTTTAGGACAGGTACCGAAAAGATGTATAATTGGATTTGTGAACAATTCTGCATTTAATGGTTCCCTTACTAAAAATCCATTTAACTTTGAAAACTATGGTATTAATTCTTTCAGCTTATATATTGATGGTCAACAAATACCTTCAAAAGCTTTGCAACCATCTTTTAATAATAGCATATTTACATCAGCATATCATACTCTATTCTCGGGAACTGGTATTCACTTTCTTAATGAAGGAAATGGAATCTCTTGTGAACAGTATGGCAAAGGTTACTGTCTATTAGCATTTGACTTAACTCCTGATTTATCAGCTAACTCATCAACTCATTGGAATCTCATAAAGCATGGTAGTGTAAGAATAGAAGTACGATTTGAATCCTCATTAATACAAACAATTAACTGTATAGTTTATGCTGAGTTTGATAATATTATTGAGATAGATAAAAACAGAAATGTTACTGTAGACTATAGTAGTTAAGGTTATAATATGTGTTGTGTGTTAGATTTTATGTGTTATGTGTAATGCATTTTGTGTGTATGTAACTATGTGAAACGTTATAAAATTAAATAAAACAAATTGTATGCAATATATTTTTTTTATTTCTTTATAAATCTTCTATTTAATCTAATACAAAACACTGTTCGAGTTGAAATTTTACATAAGCACACTGACTAAACCACTGAACATGCTGCTGCCAAGGATCATCATCATCTTCCCAATCTTTTAAACCACCACCACAATGGAAACACTTGGTCCCGTCTGCATGGCCAGTATAAAAGAAACCAGCTTCGGCAAGATCTTCAGGTTTCTGTCGCATAACTAGAGGCCAGTTTTCGAAACTAAGCAAACGGCTACCTTTTGAACTGAAGAATGGATATTCAGCTCTTGAGTACTGCATACTCTTCTCGTTTTCTTCTCCACTCAGTGTTGTAGTTTTGTTATTCAATGATGTGTTTTGTACACGTATGCCACACTCATCTCTTCCTTCCGCTCTTGTCTTCCTGTAATTGAAGTAAACAGAATCACATTCACTAATGATCAGCTAATGACTGTCATTGTTAAAAAAGTATTTTTTAACTTTTTCACTTTCTGCTATTGTCTTTGTTATATTGTATACGAGGGCGTTTGTATTGTCGTAGATGCTATCCTTATTAGTCTTTACGTAATATTTAATTCTCGTGGAAGCATGTTTCCAATGATCAGTAGTTGGAATCTTGGATAGCTTCTTCATATCGTACATTTCAATTTTGATGAGATGCGTCGCTTGGTCTCCGTCGTCAGAATTAGTAGAAATGTATGATACACCATCTCTAGCGGCTCGTGCTACGGTTGATGATAACAGCTTCCTCTTTTTTATTTTTGATTCAGCTTCAAAAAAATGATCAATCGATTGCGATTTTCTTTTTCCACCATCGCATGTGTTATTATTAATGACGAGGTTATCACTCTCTTCTTGAGGGGAGAGTGGCGAGTAGTAATACTGTTTATAGGTATCTTCATCGAAGCTCAATGATTTCTGCAACAACACAGTTATCATGTTAATATCAATTTGTTAACACTTAATCATAAAAGTTAAAAAAGTTAAAGTTACAGCCTATTAAAGTCCACTGCTGAACATAGGCCTCCTCTCATTTCTGAGAGGGTTTTAGAGCAAGGAAATGTCCGCCGCGCTCCCTCAATGTGTGTTGGCGAACTTCACATGCCTTCGAAATTTTCTCAGACATGCAGGTTTCCTCACGATGTTTTCCTTCACCACCAAGCACGTGGTAATAAGCACTTAAAATTGCTATTAACAATTTAATTGGTGCTGGCGGGGATCGAACCCGGGTCGCGTACTGTGAAATTTACAGCTAGCGCTAACCATCTGAGTTACCACGGCTTAATCATATACATACACAATATTTAAATAAAATAATACACACACATGAAAATAACAGAAAAAAAGTAATTTAGTCAATAGAATAAACACTTACATCCATAGCCTTTGGTGTATTGAAGTAACACAAATGTACTATTGATAGATCCACTGTAGCCAAACGACCGTACACTAACTCGATGACTGCGTTTGTTGGTCTTATATACCACCAGTACGTAAAAATTCTAATCTAAAGTATTTCCGTAATGAGTTGATAATTACTTTATGCGTCAACCAGTTTATCTCACATTTCCGTTGCCTATCTCAACATTTCTTCGTATTGTGTTTTGTTTGGTGATCAATGACTCAAGTACGATTTGTATAACACAAAAATGCAATTTAATATTTAGAAACATATCAGTTTATCTCACATTTCCGTTGCCTATCTCAACATTTCTTCGTATTGTGTTTTGTTTGGTGATCAATGACTCAAGTACGATTTGTATAACACAAAAATGCAATTTAATATTTAGAAACATATCAGTTTATCTCACATTTCCGTTGCCTATCTCAACATTTCTTCGTATTGTGTTTTGTTTGGTGATCAATGACTCAAGTACGATTTGTATATCACAAAAATGCAATTTAATATGTAGAAATCACTATAATTGACCATTCCTATGTTATTCATTGAGTAGCTAGGTACTGTAATAATCTACTAATAGCACGGTACCGTGCATTCTACACAAAAATGGACCGCGGATTCGTGATCAGAGCATGCCAAAACCTTTTTTTTTTTTTTTTTTTTTTTAGGATCGGGCGTCGACGAACGTCGTTGAACCACGTCTGACTCAGGTGGTCTAGAAGTGGTACAACTACACTACTTATATATGTATTTCTATTTAGTCACAGAATTCTGAGACTACCTTTTATAATCAAATTCTTTATATCATAATAGATGTAGATTTTTCTAGACAGTTTCATTATTTACCATTTTATCATAACATAAACTGTATATCTTCTAAAAACATTCGAAAAACCTCAATATATTAGAGACACCGTACAAACACTCAAACTTACTTTGCACTAAAAATCTAATAACTCCGTGCAAAAATAGAACACGTTGTATACAACCGTCTTTGATTATATACCTATTTATATAATCAAAGAACCGTGTATTACACAAGCGCGCGACCTTGTAATAGAGCGACGCATATGAAAAAACATAAACTTTGTAAACGTTTTGCGATAATTTTTTGTAAGATAAATGCAGTTGTAATTTACGTCATTGAAATCAGAATTTCAACTTCTAATTGAAATAAGAATTATTTGAGCGCTAAAAATCGGTTATCATACACAAATTTCATTGAAACCAAACCTTATTGGTTTATAACGAATTATGTACCTTCTGAGACATTTAGCCTTTTTATAAATAGTTTATTGCATGTATATATATTCATAAAGATACCATATTATTGCTAAATGTTATATCTATATGATTGTATAAGAAAAATAAAGGAAGACGCTATAATATATACACAAAAAGGTTATGAAAATGAGGTTACAAAGCGCGCGCAAACTGTCTATTGTCGAATTTTTAACAAATGTTTGCAAGTGAAAAAGTAGAATTATTATAAATATGTTGTATTGATTGTAAGGACATAAAAATAAAATAAAAACTTACGATATTTCATTCATAAAATAAAATTTATTGTCAGTAAGTACACTTTATCAAGATCCGTTAGAAACAAATAGCTGTACAAAATGAAACAAACATTTAAATGTTATGGTTATTATTTCTACTTATTGAAAATCTTATCGGCTTTAAATAACTGTAACTGAAACCTCTTTAAACATAAACGAACAGTCGTGAGAAACATAAATGTTTATAACAAGTGCCGCCAGCTGAAGTGACGACAGAGGCCCCGGTACAAAGCTGTTTTTTGTTATGGCGGGCGCGGTATGGGAAAGGTTAATATTGTACGAAGGAATTTAGTTTGTTGTTTGTAACGCTGAACTTTGTGACTCGTGAAGAGGTCGCGTTAGTTCCCTATTTGTAATTTGGTGATAAATGAATCCGGAACATTGAATATTGAACTTTGAACTACTGTTCGTTACTTGTGTCGGGTGTCACGTGTTTAATTTTACGATGAACGTTGAATTAGTTGAGTTTGAAGTTAGTAAAATGTACAATAAAGTTGATAGACTGAAATAGTGAAATGAAGAAAGAAGTGTCAATTGGTGACGTTCGCTGGAGTGAAATCACATTGTGGGACAGCATCGGACCAGGCCGCTGCCCGATCACCTCAGTTAGGTCAGGTCACATATATAAACACTACTACACACCACTTTACATGCACCTACACCTACCTACGGCCTGACCGAGCCTTGGGGCGTTCTTAGCTTCGGAACTAGGTACGTACTATTTATTTACCTAGCCTTATCTCTATTGTGTAGGTCAGTTGTCCATAGGCCGTTGGGTCCCGTCCTCTGCTGCCCGTAGATTGGGGTACTCATGGGCCCTAGTCCAGTTTACCTTTGTTGGGGCAGCTCAGGGCGTGTTCACATTGGGACAATAAACCGATGGCTACAATAACTTAAATTACTCGTAACGTAATTGTAAACAATCACAATTTTTACACGACAGTTTTAGTGTAATGGCGGCTCTCTTTGTCGGTCTCGGCTCGGGTGAAGTCGAACGGGTTCGGCTCGCCTGATTCGATACCAAGTACTTTTGTTTCCATACCGAGTAAGTATCGCAAGATTGATTCGATGCTATTAGTACTTGGTATCGAATCAAAAATATCGAGTACCTACTTGTATTTACTAGTATCGGAATGTCCCCACTGGCAACACTATGCCAAAGCCTTTCAATTTTGATTTTTGTCTTTGTGAAAATTAAAATTATAATTAATACAGAGTTTTGGCGGGAACTTGACCGGCGGCGGTTTGCTGTTCCTGTTTTATTGTTTAAATAATGGTTTTAAGTGGACTTTGATATGTAAAAGTGGTGCGATTTTGTGTATTAAGTGTCTGCGCATGTGAACTATTAGTGGAAACTGTGAAACAAGTGCTCTGATAGTGATGTGATTCTCAAAATAAGGTGCCTGTCTGCTTAGGCGCCTTGAGATACCATCGCTAATCGTCAGCCGTCTGCTGGCTCAAGTTGCCGTCAAAATCTCCCAAGGGCTGCACAATGTGACGCATCAATATATTGTGAAGCAGTATACTATGAAGAATAATTATTATAATATAACATTGTAACTGCAGGCTCAGAAGGGCTAGATCCCAGAGCCGTAAAGCCAGTTATTAAGAAGAAGAGAAGAATATAATTAATACATGTAATACAGAATGATTATGTTTACATATTGTTTATTTGTTTAATATAGAATGTAACAGACTGAATACTTTGAAACTATTTTAAACTGTAATAAACTATCAATATATATTGATACGAAATTTAAAAAATAGATAAGTTACAATGTGGACTACAAAAACTTTTTTGACGAAAACTAAACGGGGTAATATTTTAAAAGTAAGGTTACAATTAAATGTTTTAATCTATCCAAAAACCTTTTATTTATTTCATCTTCAAAAAACTGGCGCACTGGTAGTATCTCAAGGATAATAAAGTGTTAGGCTCATCTAGTTTGACTTAAGGTTGTGTGTTGATTATGCTGTGATATTTTCCTAACCAATTTCTTGGTAAGGCATGTGACGAGTATAGAGATTCCTTTTACCATGGAAATGTTGTTACTTGATTAATAATTTTTATAGAGAAATTACACGAATGAACAACTCTTCAATTTAGTGGAATTTAAATTGGCGCTATTTCCATGTGGTGTATGCACAAATGGATAGATAGAATTTCTGAAAAGTTGTGTGTGTTAATTTGTAGTGCATCCCCAATCCACAAACAACTTTAAAAAAAGTGTGTGTGTGTACTTATGTACGCACTTAGGAAGTTTTACTTCTTTAGTGTAACAAAACAAAAAACTTGAGAGACTTACCTTTACTACTTAGTTGTCGCTTTTAGGTGTTGGTGTGTGTGCACATCGTAGAAATTACCAAATGCCCCAAAAGAAGTGTAACTTCAATAATATTGAATTTTAACATGAAATGAGTTTGTATGTTTATTTCTTTTTATTATGGATGTCCATTTGAATATTTATTTCACCTGTTTCTGTTGGATAGCGTTTATCGGACCAAGTTAGCCATCTTAAAATGATGTTTTTTCTACTGCAATGACAAGTGAGAACTCTATATTATTATAAAAAGTACAGATGTTACATAAAACACTATTACTGTACACAAGCAAGAAAGGCCAGTAATGTAAAACTATATTTTCGACTTGACTTTATTAACCTGTGGTATAATGTTGATTTTTATTGACAGCATGTTTTTGTCGATTTATGATACTGCTAGATTTAAGATAAATTATCCTTATCATGGTAATGGCCTATATCCAATGGTGGGCATTTTTATGAGCTTAAGAGGTGTATAAAAATAAACAGTACAAACATACTAATAAATACTATGTGACCAAAACAATTCGGTGCATGACAGCTAAGACATCATTAGAACTAGGGAGTAAATACCGAAACGGTTATTTACAAGTTTCACTAGAGGAAGCTTGGTGATAGAGGCAGGGTGCAGGTGTGGAAACTGCATTCCTGTCATGTGCCCAATTGTCTTGGCCAAGTTGTAATAACATACTTGTGTTTTAGATTGTAAGAGAACATTATTTAAGAGATGATTTACTCTGTGGATCAGCTGCTTGCAACATTTGTCCTCATAAGGATGATGAATATATTTTGGATTCTAAACCACATTCAATCTGTGCGCTATTTGATTATGAACATTACTTAATATTAGACACTAATGTGGTGTTGCATCAGATTGATGTTCTAGAAGAAGATGCATTAACAAATGTTATTATTTTACAAACTGTCCTTGAAGAAGTAAAACATCAGAATACTGCTATATATCAACGACTGTTAGAAATCATAGGCAAGAAGACGAGAAAATTTTACTCTTTTGTTAATGAGCATCACAAGTAAGGTTATTTTTATATTATACAAATACCTAACCAAAAAAAAAAAGAACCTTTGTTAGGATGAAAATGAACATAAATTGGTCTGTCTGTTAAATATGTAAAGTCCACAATTGTAAATTCACTGTGTCACAAAGCATGACAGAAGGAAATAAAACAGGTACTGGGCAGTAGCATCTTATCATTAACTTAAAATAACAAAAAACACAGTTTCCGACCCACCTCCGACCTCCACCCCTGAGACTTTTTACAGGCTGTTCATTCATCTAATGTATGATACTAAATAGTGTACAACATTAGAAAATTAATGTTTAATTGTTTGTATTTTATACACTGCCATACCGTTCATCAGGGTGCCGTAAAACTTTGTCAACTTAATGCTTGCACATGTGCGAAGGTTATAGGCATAGTATATTTAGCTTACATTAGATGGAGCACGTGTCGTACTGACAAATTTATTTGAAAGTTATATATTATTCAATTTCAATGAATGTATTATCAAACAATATAACTCTTTTAAATTTAAAACAATATTTCGACAATTATTTCTTCAGCGACAGCAATGCGCCGGCTAGTATTGTATAAATAAGATATCAATATATTGAATTAATCAATATAATATGAACTTACCACCCACTGTCATAATATATCATTACTTCACTATGGATAGCAACATTGCCAGATTCCAGTTGCCAGATGCCTGGTACTGCATGTACCAATCCACTTGCCAAGCATGGTTTTTAACACAAGGGGGATCCCTTACCTGGAAAAGCTCATGTCCAGCAGTGAATTTTAGAAGGTGATGAAGAAGAAGAAATGGTGGAAAGTCCCTATTAAATGATAAATATGCAAGTTAAGAAAATGCCTATGCTCTTTTGTGGTGAAGAGTTTCATTTTGTAATAATTGGGAAAGCTTGACAAAAGTAAAGATTTCTAAAACCTCTTTTTGAACATCTAATTACTATGCAAATGCTTTGTTTAGGCTCCTACATCAGATTAGACATGGTATTTAAATTTAATTTTAGTGGTATTAAATGATATTAAATTTTTTACTTATTTTCTCTAGTTTAGGGTATGATGGGACTACCACAGTCACCCTATATGTATGAAAGTCCTTAAATAAAATAAGATTTTAAAAAAATATTCCAGAGCACAATATTTGGTCTAACTAATATAAATAAATCTATGAGTAAAATATGCATAAAACTATAAATTTTTCCAGAGATACATATATAGAGCGAAATCCAGGAGAAAAACAAAATGATAGGAATGACCGTGCAATACGTAAAGCTGCTGCTTGGTATGCTTCCCATCTCAGTATAAATAATTTAGATGGACAATACCCTCAAATTGTGTTACTTACTGATGACGAGAACAATAGAAAAATTGCACAAGAAGAGGGAATTGTTTGTTGTTCAGGTAAGAATTTATTAAAAAATCTATACCAATTTTTTAAAACTGACATTGTCTTTATTCGGTGACTAATAAACAAAAATGGATAAACTAGATTGGATACTTTGTTTTTGTACATTTTTTAATTTGTTTAATAATTTATATAAAACTGTTTATAACCTTATGGGTACTGTATGAAACATGTAAAGAATCACTATTTTCATCTTCAATTCTATCAAAATAATTATTCGTATTATATTATTTTGTTTATATGTATTGCCCATTTATGTTATATATAATTGTTAGATATTTAAAGTATATATTTATATACTCGCACCCTGCACTGCCTTCGTCTGGTTGGTATCTATTAATGTCATTTATGCCATGATTTAGATTTAAGATCATCAATAACCATTTATTTATTGAATAAAACTACTTTTACGGATTTTATCACGTTTAATTAAGTTATTTTGCTTATTTTTATTAATTCCCGACGTTTGGGGTGCTTTCCAGCACCCATGGTCACGGGGGACTGAGGTGATTGACGTCCCGATGTCAGAGTTAATCCCGAGTACCTTCAGTTTTTTTAATTAATAATTTTGGTCTGATCTATGCAGAATGACCTTACTGTATTTTGAAGTCTTGCAGTGGTATGCTTGGGTTTAGTTTTAATTTTATTAATTACGCGAGTGTTCAGGGGTGCTGACCTGGGAACGGATCACTATCTAGTGATTACTAGATTTAGGGGTCTGTTCGCGGGTTGGCGCTACCGCACGACAGTGACAGAACCACAGTCGGTCTGTCGCATCCGAAGCTGGAAGCTTCAGGAAGCGGATACTAGGGACAAATATCATGCGAGGGTAGCCGAAAAGCTTGACACCATCGATGGCAGAAACGAATGTGTAGAAAGAACATGGCAGAACCTTAGGGATGGAATGGTAAGTGCAGCGGAAGAAGTGTGTGGAACAATAAAAAGAGGCAGTAGTAAAAGAAGAGATGCATGGTGGAATGATGAAGTGAAAGAAGCTGTAAAGAAGAAGAAGAAAGCATGGTTAGACTACTTGGCCTCTAGTAATGATAAGGATATGAGAGAGAAGATGAAAAAAAGATATAAGCTGCAGAAAGTTCACACGAAAGCATTGATTGAGGAAGTGCGTGAAAGGTGTAGAATGGAAGCGGATGAAAGGTTGTCGCACAACTTTAAGGAGAACTCCAAACTCTTCTGGAAAGAGGTTGGAAGGACCCGAAGTGGTGCGACGGCCTTAAGAATGAACAAAGTGCTTTCGAGAACTAATGACGTCCTCTCAGAAAAATCGGACGTCATGCAGCGATGGAGCGAATTTTATAGAGAAATGTATGCGTGTGATGATCTTAGTGAGGGATCCGGGGATGACGCCGTGACTGGTACGCCAGACCCGGACCTCGATGACACTGAGGTCTTCAGTATGAAAGAGATTGAACGTGCGATTCGAAGTTTGAAATGTGGTAAGGCTGCGGGACTAGGACAGAGTTACTGCTGAAATGGTCAAGTATGGTGGGCCTCGCGCCTGGGACAGCTTTCATTTGCTGTGCAATTTGTGCTGGCGGACGGGGGATGTCCCGGATGATTGGCGATCCGCAGTCATTGTGCCTTTATATAAAGGTAAAGGTTAACATTTTGACTGCGGGTGCTATCGGGCGATCAGCTTGACCAGTTTAGCAAGTAAAGTTTACTCGAAGGTTTTGACACGTAGGATGCAAGAGAAATCGGAAAGATTTCTATGGGAGGCACAATGCGGCTTTAGACCTGGAAGAGGATGCACGGATCAAATGTTTTCTCTCCGTATGATCACGGAAAAGCTTCTGGCTGCTAACCAGAAGATTTTCTGTGCTTTTGTGGATCTTGAGAAAGCATTTGATAAGGTTGTAAGGAAGAAAATGTGGGATCTGTTGCCGGGGTATGGTGTGGATGGCCGATTGCTAAGGGCTGTGCAGTCTCTTTACTGTGACTGTAAAGCCTGTGTGCGGGTAGGGCATGACCTGTCACCCATGTTTAGCGTCCAAACGGGCGTAAAACAGGGTTGTGTCATGTCTTCCTGGCTGTTCATACTGTATCTCGACAGCTGTTTACAAAGGCTGAAAGATAGCTGTTTGGGTGTGAAATTGGGTGACATAAAAGTAAATTGTCTGCTGTATGCTGATGATGCAGTGCTTATTGCACCATCAGAGGCAGAACTGCAGGCATTAGTCACGTGTATGAAAGAGGAATATGAAATTAAAGGTCTCCGTTTGAACGCTAATAAAACTAAGGTTCTGGTATTTGAAAGGGACGAAGAGAGAACGAAGTCTGAAATATGGATAAATCAGGAATGTCTAGAACAAGTAAATGAAATTGTATACTTGGGGAGTGCTTTTAGCCGGGATGGAAGATGTGATTTAGATGTGGACAGGCGTGTCGCTGCCGGGAACAAAGTCAATGGTGCCCTGACTGCGTTAGTCAAAAGGCAAGGCGTAGTGAAGAGTGCACGCCTTGCAATACATAACGCAGTGTTGGTACCGACTTTGTTATATGGCAGCGAAACCTGGGTATGCCAGAAGAAGCATAAAAGCAAGTTGAATGCAGTGGAGATGCGATCTCTTCGTAAAATGTGCGGCGTTACCATGGCCGACCGAAAGCGAAACGAAGAGATTCGCAATATGGCAGGTTTGAAAGATGACCTTATCACAAAAATTGATAAGGGCGTGCTTCGGTGGTTTGGGCACGTTGAGCGAATGAGTGAAGACCGAATGGTGAAGAAAATATATAGCGCGAAAGTTAATATTAAAAGGTGTCGAGGTAGACCGAGACTAACTTTCGAAGACCATGTGAGCAAATTGCTCGAAGAGGGTAGGGTCAAGAGTACTCGGATACCTAGACGTGCATGTATGAAGAAGATAATGAATCTGAAAGAAGCGAAAGAGGTATGTAAGGATCGTGACACTTGGCGATCTGTTCTCTCTGGCTACCCCGTCAGGGATTGTGCGTGAAGATAAATAAGTAAGTAAGTTTATTAATTACAGGATCCCAAGCGGATGGTAGTACCCAGCCTCCCTCTCTATTGAAATTAGGATGTTTTTTAATTTCAATACCCTTACTAACCTTGGTAATAAGCAACATTAACATTATATCCTGAAAAAAAGCTTTTTGTTTTTTTTAAATCAAAATTAAAAATATCAATTGAGCAGCAACAGAAATTAACCTCATAATTTATAAAAGCTAAATACTAAAATATTTATTCAAATAAGTATTCATTATTACTCACTTGCATTTTTTATCAGTGATCTGTACTTTTTTCAGACATATCAATTATCTACATTAAATACATTTATTAATATACTTTACACATATAAATTAGTTTACAGCACACTTTACTACCATAGTGCGCGCACATTGGTCAAATCAAATGGCGCGCGCTTCCCCGTCTTCTTGTTACACACTTCCGTTCCTTTTCACAAAACCACTCCCACAGATTGCGGGGAAGCGAGAGGAAAGATGTAAAGCATCAAACAAATTCTAATTTCAATACGGAAGATGGCTTGATGCTACCATCTATTAGGATGTATTAAAATAAAAACTAAATCAAATATTAAGCATACTGCTGCAAGACTTCAAGATACTATTAGCTTGTTCTGAATAGATCATATCAAAGTTAATATTTAAAATTTAAAGGAAGTTTATGTTAGGTATGACATGACATCAGAATGTCAGTCCCCATGATCAAAGGTGCTGTGAAGCACCAAAAACGTCGAGAATAAAAAGTGAAAATTAAAGTTTTATCCAATGTATAGCATTCGCGAAATATAAAAAAATGATTATGTTTATTTCTGTATTCACATTATTTTTCAGTAAAAGATTACATTGAAAATGTGAACGGTTTTGTTGGTCTCGTTGACAAGTTATCAAAGAATGTTATCCCTGAGAGCTGCTCAAAGGATGCACTGTATCCAGCACACTTAACTCCAACACAAATTCATACCGGTATTAGAAACGGTAAATTGTATCAAGGAACATTTCATGCTTCAAGAGAGAATTTCTTGGAAGGCACCTCTGTTGTTAGTGGATTTGAAAAGCCGGTAATTTTTTTTTTCATATCTTATGTTACTTATACCTTTAAAGAAAACTAAAAGAAATCAGATATAAAAAAGTAGTTGTATATTGTACATATGTGTGTTGTGTAGGTGTAGACATTTCTCTTGTAAAATAAAGCCAGTGAGATTACATAAAATGAACAAAACATCCAGACTTTTACTAAGTTGCATTAGAACTGAAGTGCTTAGTATCGTCTTTACTTTCACATTATACAGGTTATTTTAAAATAACCGGCCAAATTTGTAGTGAAGGTTCAGAATAAGCAAGAAAACTTAAATAAAAAAGATCTGAAACATTCAGTCCTTTTTATCTTTTAAATTCCAAATGCGTAATAATGCATTATTTTAACCGATTGTCATGCATAAATATCTAACGCCTACTATTTTACTACGCACGCACACATTCGTAAGGGTCGATCGGTCGGCAAAAACGTGAATTGCATAGCACACAGAAGCGCGCGTACGCGTAGTTGTTACCCACAAATCACATTCAATTTGCCATAATTTCAAATAAAAGTAGAAGGCTTGTTTACTCGTATTTTCTAAAACTGCAATAACAGTATATCTTTATTTATATATTAGAACTTAGGTTTAAAATTTGGCTACTCTTTGAAAAATAACCCTGTATAATTTACGTTAGTACTGTAACTGAAAGTACTTATTATAGGTAATAAGTACAGCTGAGGTTAGAGATTGGGGGTCTTTTTTTTTCATTTTTTATCCTAATGAAAATGTGCTTGAATCATTTTAGATGTTTTATTTTCCATATATTTATATAATCTTGTAAAATTATTATCATTCGTGTATGTATTAATATTTTCTGATTATAAATGAACCTGAAAAAAAACTATTCTTAGCATCCCTGCTTCTGACTAGTGTTATGTAATCAAAGTATAAAGAATATACAAAAGGGTCTGAGTCCATCCAAACAATGCTTATTTCCTCATTGTGAAGTATGGTAAATAGGCATTTAGCACTTTTAATAAATAATTATTGAAGTCATGCTCAAATTCCAGTTGCTTGTTTAGTATTGAATATAAGAAGAGGGCTTGGTTTTAAGCTACCATGGTGTGCAACAAATTTTGTTAAACTAAGTATGTCCATTTTTCAGATTCTCTTGCAAGGACACATCGGCATTAACAGGGCAGTTGATGGTGACATCGTAGCTATAGAAATTCTGCCCAAAGAAGAATGGCGAAAGCCAAGTGATATTGTTCTTGAGGACAAAGCGGATGATCCCGGAGATTTATTAGAGGAAGACACTGAATTGTTGACAAGCGTAAAGCCCATTGATACTAGTGATGACGAGATCACGCCAACTGGGAAAGTAGTTGGTATAATAAGGAGGAAATGGCGACAGTACTGTGGGATATTAAAACCTAGCAAGTTTCCAGGTAGCAATTCAGTGAATTAAATTATCATATTTTTCACAATATTTTATTTGTTCATACATATTATCACGCCTGTAATATCTCAGAGGGTAGGTAGAGTCCAAAGAAGCAAGGTACTTTGACCACATTTAGAGAAAAAAAACTGGGTTAAATGGAAAATTTGAAAAGAAATGATAGGTGGCTATCCCTACACAATCACGCCCAATATCCTATTAGTTGTCTATTACTACGTGCTAGGCATGAAACACAGTTGGCACATTCTTTTTGTTAGGAGTCCCGCATAAACATAGGACCTATAAGTCCCAGACCAATGTGAAATGGATTGTTTGTTCATGTTCCATTATATATCTATATGATTGTATGTATTATCTTTTCCTTTTAAATTGTTATAGCTTAAATTATATAAATTAAGCTCAGGATGGATCATGATTTCATATTAATGGCAATGTGTTTTTTATAAAATAAGGGTGACAAACATGCACACAGTCCACCTGATGGTAAGAGGATGCTGCGCCCCATAGACATCTACATTTATCCGCAATTATGAATGAAAATGCAGATGCGTTGTCACCCCTGAGGACTGAGATGGAATGCCTCGTTTCCAGTAAAAATCCGGTTCTCTACACTCACCATACGAAACACAGCAGCATTAAGTTGCTTTTTACGCTGGTATTCTGTGAGAGCATGGTTCTACCCCGGTCGAGCCGACACATTCGTGCTGCTGCAACCACAATATTGCTGCAGCGTGGTTGTACCACGTAAAAATTTATAAATAATATCACAGTTACTAACTTAATAGAGCTATCGAGATATTAATAAATTAGAGGAACTAATAACTGATGGTTAATTTTAGGTGCAACACGACACTTGTTTACGCCAGCTGAAAGGAAAATCCCGCATGTACGTATCGAAACACGGCAAAGTGACGTATTGGCCTCGCAAAGGATACTAGTGGCGCTGGATTCCTGGCCTAGGAACAGTCGATATCCGCTTGGCCATTTCGTGCGCTCTCTCGGACCTATTGGTAAATGTACCTTATGTTTTTTTTTATTGGTAATGGTCTCGTACGGTTACTCCTTTGCCAGTGTGAAGAAATAGGAAAATGTCCTTTATAATAATTTGTCCAAAACCTCCCCACAATACCTCACATTACGGGAGTATTTGGGAGATTCAGACAACAGCTTAAGCTAGCAAACAGTAATAAATACATATAGTACTTTTCTCAATCTCCCAAAAAGTTCCATCAAGTTCTTAAGGCCTTTTAAAACAAATTTATTTGTATCAACATCAGATCACTCGTTTTGATGTTTCCACTGGTAGATCACATGAGTAGACGCTTAATGCACAAAATAGCATCACTTTTATATTTCAAAACCCACTCTCAACCATTATCTAAACCAGTGGTGTGCAAACTTTCTTAATGGAGGACCAGAAAGTTTAAAAAAATTCATAGGAGGGCCAGAATTATAGGAAAAATGCATTTTGTGTTGAAACTTTTAATCATATAAAAACATTACAGCATCACACGCTTGCACAAATGTTAAAAAATACAATTTAACTTATATTCGATGGCCCTGCCATGGTAGGCGTGTGAGACATATGAAATTGCTTTTGATTTGCCATATTTTTTTTAAATGCAGGTTCGAGCTGTGACGAATTAACTTTCAACAGCGCGAATAGGTGTTCATCAGTAAGTCGGTTTCTGATTGAGTTTTTCCGCAATTTCATGGTCGAAAAAGTCTGTTCGCACACATACGACGACGCAAATATCGCCATAATTTTTTTGAGCGTAAGCAATTCATCTTTGGGAATTCAGCTTTAGGCAGTGTTCTATAAAAATCTAGCTTTGTGCCCCGCGCCCCGCGACCCGCAACACATGAACTAAGCGGCTAGTCTAGCTAGCTCCTTTACCTATGCGTCTATGATTCTACTAAGTAGAATCTACTTTATACTTCTGGACCGTCAAAATAAAATTATCACGGGACATATACTATTAATGTCGAAGGACCATCAGCGGGCCGGATTAAATACTTTCGCGGGCCGGAGGTGGTCCGCGGGCCGTACTTTGCCCATCACTGATCTAAACGATAAAACAGGAGTGAGTAACAATTCGCCGTCGTTCAATTTCCCGCCAAAACTCGCATACATCATAATCTATATATATAAAAATTACGTGTCACGTTGTTTGTCCGCGATGAACTCCTAAACTACTGAACTAATATCAATGAAATTTTGCACACCGTGTGCAGTGTGGTCCAACTTGAGAGATAGATAATTTTTATCCCAATAAGTGACCCTCAGTATTTTTTATTGCGAATTTAAGGATTTTTTATATTACAAAGGTTCGCCGTTAAGGGCAGAACAACGTCTGCCTGGCAAGCTTGTAATATGTAAGATGTAGGTTGGTTTGATGTTTTTTTTTCGAAATTAAATTTTAATAAGAACTGATGTGTTAATGATTCTCATAATTTTACAGTAGCTGTTGAGTATGAATCTCCACTTGTACCGGTGGAATTCTTGAATTGAATAAACACTTTGATATGTAGATTGTATTATTATTTATTAGATAATTTAATAGGTTCTGATATTATATATATAAGCGGTAGCTGAAATGCGTGCTCGTGGAACCCGTTTGAGATTCGCTGCCCGGCGATACAGGTCGGGGAGCGAATATTTCGCTCTAACGTCAGGGACAGTAACTTTAAAATTAAATGAATGGAAGAATTACATTTGTGTAAAGTCTTTCCCTATCAGATTTTTACAAATGTAAATAAAATTTACTTCTTACCATTCCATATAAAAAGTCTTATTTGCTGTACAATGCGATTTAAATAAGAGATAGTAGTACACACCAGATGTCAGGTGTTATCATGACGCAGAATATAAACAAATTCTAAAAATTTACTTTTTTTTTATAAAATCACGTTGACAAACACACAGTCCACCTGGTGGTAAGGAAATGCTAAATTTAACCTTGATTAAAATTCTAAATTTTGATACTTTGTCTCTTCTGATGACTAAGATAGAATGCTTCATTACTAGTATGACGATATCCGGCTCTCTCTATATTCACCATATGAAATGCAGGAGTATAAGTCTGCTATTTTACGCTGGTATTCTGTGAGAGCGTGGTCGAGATCCAAAGTTGCTTGAATACGGGTGTTGAATCAAGATATAATATGTAATAGTACTCAAATATGATATGTGTTTTGTTACCAATGGGGTAGAAAGATTTTTGAGTGGCAGGCTGGTACCAGTAAGTGAAGTGTATGGCGGCCCCCCACTGGATGGAGTGACGACCTGGTAAGACATGCAGAGAAACAATCAACCATGCTTTGTAGCTTTACTCTGGGGAGACCCATGTTCAGCAGTGGAGTTGTGATGGGCTGTAATGATGATGATGTCATTATAAATATCATCATCATCATCATTACAGCCTTTACAAGTCTACTGCTGAACACAGGCCTCCCCCAAGGAATGCCACAAAGCACGGTCCTGAGCCACCTGCATCCATCGACTTCCTGCATGTCTTACAATGTTGCCACTCCATCTAGTGGAGGAACGCCCTACACTTTGTCCGCCAGTACGAGGCTGCCCCTCGAGAACCTTTTTTCCCCATCGGTTGTCGGTTCTTCGAGCTATATGGCCGGCCCATTACCACTTCAGCTTACTTATCTGCGAGCTATGGAGAGGGCTATACTCGGAGTTTCTCTGCGTGATAAATTTAGAAATGAGGATATCCGCAGTAGAACCAGAGGGACCGACTTAGCCCAACGGATTATAAAATATAAGTATGTACATATTTTTTGTCGTCAAATGAAGATGTCTAAATGAAATTGAAAATTTTTTAGGCGACAAAAACGCGGAAAATGAGGTTATATTGCTAGAACATGATATACCACACGCTAGATTCAGCGAAGCCGTGCTGGCCTGCCTACCACCTGATGACTGGACCATACCAGAGGAGGTAAGTTGCAGGCACTTATTTTACCAACCTGTGAATTATTATTTTTTTCAAGTTCCATGATTACTTTTTGCCTCAGGGTTTTTTATTTAACTAAATTACGATAACAATGTTGTGGTTTGAAATATGTGAAACTACTGATAGGTACACAATGGGTTTGAATGCTTTCGTTAAGCCAATTTACCTCCTTTTCTCCATGGTGTTTTGCAGCATATTGGAATGGCCAAGGGAACACTTTCGCACATATCCGTAGCCCCACCAGTGCTTTTCTCGGACGGTAATCTTCCGCTCTTCATCTCTTTAGGCTAAGCTACAATGTTTCCATTACCACCTGCATAACAGAGTCCCGTGTTTGTTACGATGAGTTCAAGGGATTAGAAAATCGAGCACTCTTACAACATACAACACGCATCAGGATTGGGTTCTTCAAGAATATTCGGAGTGGCCACCTGGGCCTCGGCCCTTAATTCCAAGCCTGCCACGGTGAACATTTAGGAACCACTCTGTTCACAGGGGGTGATTAAGCCACAGCTGACACCCCTCCCGTTACGAGAAGGCGGGAATCCATTCAGGGGGATGCCAATTTAAAATTTGCACTCGTATCAAGAACTGATGACCAATACATTAATATAATAACTTTATCATAGTATCCTCATCAGGATCACCTGGATAAAATAAAATAATTATCAATTGTTTAAGTTTTTTTTATAGAGTTAGGGTGATAAACAAGCACACAGTTCATATTATGGTCAGTGGATGCTGTGGCCTCTGGACATCTACATTTATCCTCAATAAAATATCAAAATGCAGATGCGTTATCGCCCTTGAGGACTGAGATGGAATGCCTTGTTTCTAGTAAAAGGGGTCTTCGGTATTCTACATCTACACTCACCATACACAGCAGCATTAATTTGCTTTTTACGCTGGTATTCTGTGAGAGTGTGGTCCTACACCGGTTGAGCCGATTCATTAGTGTAACAACCTACTATAACTGCAGTGTTGCACTACCACATTGAACTCTTGTATTATTTTTATATACAAGGTTATTTTGCAATAACCGGCCTAGCAGAGAAGGTTCAGAATAAGTAACATAGGCAAATCGTGAAGAAAAATTAATAAAAAAATGTTAAACATTGTGTTCGTTTATCTTTTAAATTCAATATGCGTGGTAATGCATTATTTTAACTGATTTTATTATTCACGCACACATTCGTAAGGGTCGATCGGTAGGCAAAAACGTCGTTGCCCATAAATCATTCAATTTGGAATAATTTCAAATAGAAGTACAAGCTTTATTTACTCGTATTTTCAAAAATTGTAACATCGGTGAAATAATATATATTTCGCTTATATCTTTATTTCAAATAAAAGTACAAGCTTTATTTACTCGTATTTTCAAAAATTGTCACATCGGTGAAATAATATATATTTCGCTTATATCTTTGAACTTAAGTTTAAAGTTTGGCTACTCTTTGAATGATAACTCTGTATTTATATTATTTATTTGAAACTCTTTTTTTATATATGGTAGAGAGACAAACGAGCACACAGTCCACTTGATGGTAAGTGGTTGCTGTGACTCATAGACATCTTCACCTATCCTCAATAAAGTATCAAAATGCAGATGCGTTGTCACCCGTAAGAACTAAGATGGAATGCTTCGTTTCCAGTAAAAAAGGTCTCCGGTTCTCTACACTCGCCATACGAAACACAGCAGCGTTAAGCTGCCATTTTACTCTGGTATTCTGTGAGAGCGTGGTCCTTCCCCGGTGGAGCTGAGCCATTGGTGCTACAACTATAGTACACATTATTGGTTATTGTGAATAGGAAATAAAGAAACGCGTGGACTTGCGTGGGCTGTGCATTTGCTCGGTGGACCCGCCCGGCTGCACGGACATCGACGACGCGCTGCACGCGCGCGCGCTGCGCCGCGCCGGCCCGCGCGCGTACGAGGTGGGCGTGCACATCGCTGACGTCACGCACTTCGTGCGACCCAACACCGCCCTAGACAAGGAGGCTGCTCTAAGATCTACCACCGTTTATTTGGTCGACAAGAGGATCGACATGGTTCCAGGTTAGGAAAAAAGGTTTTTAACACGCTTTCATTAGCTTCGTATATGTATCTATCTGTCATTTAAAAAAAAAACATTAGTTTACAAACACAAATTTCACAAGGACTAACATCCAGACCCGGAACAATCATTTGTAGGCCATACAAATACTTGTCCCGTGCGGGATTCGAACCCGCGCCCCCCAGCGCAGCAACTCAGTTCTAAGCCACTGTGCCACGGAGCCGTCTTTCTTTGTAAAGCTGAACGCACATATGTCCGCGCCGTACGCGCCGTACGCGCCGAATTTTCCTGATGGCCTCGCACATTAGCACGCACGCACCGCCCGCGCCGTACGCAAATATTTTGGATTGCCAACAACTCTTGCAGTTTTTTCCAACCACTGGTGTGAAACGGTACATTAGATAGATTAGATTGAAAACATTTATCGCTCGGAATCACTATGGAAAAAAATCACTAGTACTGGGAGGCCTACTTACACTGAACGTTTTTTTTAAGATCATTGGCATTATACGGGAAAACCCCGAAAACTGCGTAGTATGTATGTAACTATGGCGTCAGTAACTAAGTACCTAATTATCTATATCTATCTATAAATAATAATATATTACCTTTCGGTATCCTTAGGAACAGTAAAGTATGAAAAGTCACCATTCCTATTGTTATTTAAGCACCCGTATGCTATGCAGCACCTTTTGGCTTTATGAGAGGCCATACTTGAATAAAAACTCAAAAATAAATCTCAAAAGTGCCTAAATACTTATTAGAAAAAAATATTTTTTATGTATGTTTTAAATAAATTAATTGAATTGGCAATCGCACTAAACAATCTAATGATTGGGTTGGGGGTACTGCCGTGCCCCCAGATTACTGAAAGTATTGAATGATGATTCGGTCAGAGGGGATGACACCGTACTAAATACCACTAGCCCTAAACCTCAGAATAAATAATAGTACTACGTACCGACACGTACTCGGCCAGTTTTTGTTACTGTCTGTTATAATTAGTACCTAGTCAAAAATACTTTAAACCTTATGTAGTTACACCAACCTACCTACATACAGGCCGTCCACAGTTATTTTACTTTTTTCTCTGAAGTTATATATAGTCTTTTTATAATTTTTAAATAGCTATAATAGGTAGCTTGAGATTTCTTTCTACAGAAAAAGCATGTTATTCTATATTACATTATATTGGACAAAAACTTAATTATAAGTAAATCGCCAGCGGTAAAATAGCTGTGAATGGACTGTAGGTGGCGCCTTGATCATGATTTTGGATTTAAAATGATTAATTACTCACCAGTCTCATTCATTCGTTCCCCAATCTCTTCCCATATGTTGTCCCGCCTTTGCTGATTCATATAGTGGGGATGTTGCAAATTATACAACTCCTCATATTGTTGTACAAACAATATTAAAGCTATTTCGTCCATTGGTTCGTGGGTATATGATTAGTAACTACGTGCGCGTCGCTTAGCTCTGCGGGCGCGAATGACAGACAGGCACGAGGCACCAGCCAGTGCTGCCATTAAACTAGTTCTCCGCAAGATTAAACTTTTAAAACCACCAACACAAAGCGACCATACTCTCATAATACCTATTTAGGGATTATGAGAGTATGGTTTAGTGAAATATTTATTTCACTAAACATTTTTTTATTAAGGAAGAAAACAATAAGTATATTAATAATTGGTTACCTTTATTTTTTCATACATTTGTGACATTCCTTGGAGGAGGCATATGTTCAGCAGTGGACTTGTGAAGGGCTGTACTGATGATGATGATTATCATTATTATTATTATTACATACTGTGTACCAAATATTAAATGTCTATGTTAATAGCCAATAAATCAAAATACAATAGGAAATTAACAAGTCAACATCAAGAATATATTATTTAATTAACTGCTATTTTAAATTAAATCGTTTTCTTCAGATTAATTATTTTGTCGACACCATCGTCGTCGGTTTTAGATTGATATAATTTATTTGTACCAATTTGTTTCACAACGTTTATCGGAATTTCAATTTCTTTCTCTAACCGCAGTGTACACTTAACACTTAAAAAATATAATTCGAAACAAAAGTCGAAACCACCAGTTTTAGTGGAAAATCCACGAAGTTGGCAACATTACACAACACTGAGTATCTACACGCGGAGTTTTGGCGGGAAATTGACCGGCGGCGGTTTGCTGCTCCTGTATTATTGTTTAAATAATGGTTTGAAGTGGACTTTGATATGTAAAAGTGTTGCGATTTTGTGTATTAAGTGTCTACGCATGTGAACTATTAGTGGAAACAGTGAAACAAGTGCTCTGATGGTGATGGATTCTCAAGATAAGCTGTTTGTTTGCATAGGCACCTTTAGATACCATCGCCAACTATCAGCTGTCTGCTGGATCAAGTTGCCGCCAAAATCTCCCAAGAACTGCACAATGTGACGCATCAACATATTGTGAAGCAGTATACTATGAAGGAGTGGGGAAATTACAATAAACCGAATAAAAATACTTAAGACTTGGCCTAAAGGTCTAGATACCAGGCCATAATCTCCAAAAAAAAAGTATCCACACGCGCCAAACGCGCCGCGTTATATGACGTCATCAGCATTCGTCCTTCGATATCGTATACCTACCGCATTTTATAAAATTCGGCGCGTACGGTGCGGGTGTTGTGTGCGAGGTTTCATATGATTTCATACAACGAATTCTAAAATTCGGCGCGTACGGCGCGGACATATGTGCGTTCAGCTTAATGGAACATTTTAATTTAATTTTCACTAACTTGTACACGGTCCATTGATTTGAAAATTTGCTCTCGTATCAAGAATCGATAGCTAAATAATTTAATAACTTTATCCTATCGGGATTCCCAAGATAATATAAAATAATCAGTTTAGGATGGATGCGTGTTCTTTAGGTTTCTAAAATCTAATATTGTTTTTACTGATATAGAACTTTAATTACGATGTTTTTCATTTGGATCGTGTTTTTATGGGCATTTAGTTATGTGTATACATGCAAAAAAACTATAACTAAGTAAGAGTGAAACGGTAAAACAGTCTGCTCGTGGGCGCGTCTGTGAAGTGTCTGGGGTGGAGAGAAAGGTAAGCTAACAAAACAATCATTTAAAAAGAAAAAACAATAATTTGAGCTGCAATACTCAACAAAATATGATATCTGATGATGAAGTAAGAGAAAAAGAGAAAACAGCTGTATTTAATTTCGTGTCCTACCATAAATATGAACTAAAGGGAGAGGTGTAACAAATTTTACCCCAAGGTATGAATGATAAAAGTATCAGTATTGTACCACATTCTGTCATCAATCATTCACAATAATGAATTTTCCAAAGTTGGTTGAAATGTGAACAATGATCCAGACCTTCACATAATCAACTAGATAATTTTAAATTTCGTCGTAATTAATAAAAATGTGGAAATATTTCTATGAGTACGTCAATTATTACCAGTATTTTATAATAAATACAAATAGTTTTATTATTGCTAAAAATACACATATAATATTATAACATGTCAATTAATAGAACCGGGCGTTACTTTTCGGAAAACCATTATATTTAAAATGTTAAAAATTAAAATAAAATGATGTGGCTTACTAGTTTGAAGAGCATCTCCCACCCTCCCTCAATTGCGTGCACTTCCCTGTCACCACTACACTAGGGAAAACACACAACTGTCTATAATACGACGTTTGTTTCGCCTCTCTTTCGACCTAGTAAGACATCATTTTATTTTCTTACGCGAATTTTAGCAAATTAATTTTTAACATCTTTAAAATTGTATTTTTTTTTATAGGATACTGGGCAAATGAGCAAACGGCTCACCTGATGTAAAGTTACTACTGCCGCTCATGAACAACTGAAACACCAGGTTAATTGTATATGCGTTGCCGGCCTTTTAGAAAGGAGTAAGCTCTTCATGAATGTCACGAAGTCGTATCGGTCCAGAAAAATCGCCGGTGGTAAACAATTTCACAGAGAGGTCGTACGCGTAAGAAAACTCCTAGTGAAACGTACAGTGGTGGACCGCCGAGCAACCAAATGGTGAGATGGTATCGGAAGTTTTGCCGTAATGTGCGTTCGTGAAATTTGGTGGCTGGGATTAATCCGAACAATTCCTCAGAGACTTCCCTGTGGTAAATGCGAAAGAAAATGCAAAAGGATGCAACATCTCTTCGCAGCGCCAGTGAATCGAGCCGATCGGAAAGGACTCGGTCGTCGACAATTCGAGACGCTCTGCGCTGGATGCGGTCAAGTGGAAGGAGCTGGCACTGGGGAGCCCCAGCCCAGAGATGGGAACAGTATTCCATGTGAAGCCGAATCTGCACCTTGTAAAGTTGCAGGCGGTGTGCTGGCATGAAATACTACCCCGCTCTGCTGAGCACGTGAAGCTTTTAAGAGGCCAATTTGGCCTTCTCTTCCAAGTGACCTCGAAACTTCACGTCACACGATATGTCGACGTCGAGGATTCCGATACTAGCTGAGGCAATAAGGGGAGTGCCTTGAAACTGAGGAGATACGACAAATGGGTTCTTTTTAGCGGTAAAACCGCCAACCTGTGTCTGAACTAGAACTGGCTAAACTGGACTAGATTTAGTCGCACCCAATCCATGACTTTGTTCAGCAAAGATTCGACTTCAGACAAAAGTTTGTTCCGGTACTCGGCGACGTTTTCCCGATAAATATTGGCACGGCCGGTGTATATAGCATCACCTGTGCTGTCATCCGCTTAGCACATAGCAGATATAAGAAACGGCGTTGGTGACAGTACGCAGCCTTGTGGAACACCAGCGTTAATAGGCTTATAATTGGAGCATTCACCGTCTACAACGACCTTGGTGCTCTGATCTGCAAGAAAGCTGGTGATCCAATTGCACAATTTCTCGGAAAGCCCATAGGAAGGGAGTTTTAAAAGAAGCGCTTTGTACCAAATTCGTTCGAAGGCCTTAGCAATGTCCAAATTAACGGCCCTTCGGACTC